GAATTCCGTGAAGAGTTTGCTGGCCAAAAAGTTCGAAATGAAAGACTTGGGGCCTGCAAATTTTATTTTGGGCATGCAGATTAGGAGGGACCGTGAGAAACGGAAGCTGTGGCTAGGGCAGGAAAACTACATAAAAGAAATATTGAAGAAATTCAATATGATAGACTGCAAGCCTCTTGGTACCCCTATACCTTTAGGGACCAAGCTATCTGCGGAACAATGTCCAAAAACGGATGAAGAAGCTGAAGAGATGGCCCGAATTCCATACGCGAGTGCAGTGGGTAGCTTGATGTATGCTATGGTGTGCACGCGTCCGGATATAGCCCAAGCGTGGGAGTCTTGAGTCGATACATGTCTAACCCGGGTAGAGAACACCGGAATGCGATCAAAAGAGTTTTCAGGTATCTTCGTGGAACTTTGAATTTTTCTTTATGTTTTGAAGGTACAGGGAATGGAAACATGCTTGATATCGTAGGCCATGTAGATTCCGATTGAGGTGGAGATATTGATAGTAGACGGTCCACTAGCGGATATGTTTTCACATTGTTTGATGCTGCGTTGAGTTGGATGAGCAGGAGGCAAAGCGTGGTAGTGCTTTCTTCTACGGAGGCTGAGTATATGGCTCTTACTTATGCTGGAAAAGAGGCCGTATGGTTACGGCGGTTGTACTTGGAGCTCGGTTTTGAGCAAGGTGCCATAGAGGTGAGATGTGATAATCAAGGGGCTATTTATTTAGCTAAGAATCCAGCATTTCACTCACGCACAAAGCACATTGATATACAATATCATTTCATTTGAGAAAAGGTAGAGAAGAAAGAGGTTCGGCTTGTAAAGGTCGACACGGTAGAAAATAGTTCTGACTTCCTTACTAAAGTCGTCATAGGTGCGAAGTTTGAATGGTGCTCTACTGCGATTGGATTGAAGAAGAATGATATTGGAAAGGCTCTCATTTGCGCGAAGTATCCACCAAGTGGGAGAATGTTGGAGTTGGCGAATACTTCGAGGACCCTTGTTTCTCACACCGGGTACGTCCACGTGAGCTTAGGAAACTGAAGTGTTATCTGACGACATGTGACCCCTGCGTACGGAATGCGGGGGTTCGGGGCGCGCCCGACAGCAGTGTGTGTCCCGCTGCCCGGTCAGCGGGGCGGGGTTCGAGGCGGCGCCCCTGAGAAAACCTATACGAAATCTCTTAATCTCGCACCATACGGCCAGCCCAAACCCGTTGAGGTTTCGGGCGCGCCCGCTCGCCGGTGAGCGGGCGGGGGCTCGGGCGCGCCCGAAATCTCAACGGGTTTGGGCTGGCCGTATGGTGCGAGATTAAGAGATTTCGTATAGGTTTAGGTTTTAGGCGTTTGGGGCACATATATATTTTTGCTCGTTTTCTCGATTATTGTAACGAGTTGAGTAGCGTAAACCGAAAACATAGTGAAATCTCTTTGCGGGACGTAGCCCTAATCGAGGGTGAACCTGGGTAAATTCGTGCATCGTCTATTTTCTCTGTTTTTCTGCGTGATCGTTCTATTTCGGTTCTCGATACGTCCCTTCAAGCAAGACATGATTAACTCCATGTAGCCTGATGTGCAATGGTCCTCTCTCATCAGGCGCGGACTCCAGAGAACCAAGCCGTATCATGAGCTAACAAGGCCTCAGAAGCGAGTAACGTGGCCGAGGTCGAATGCTTGACCGAGAAGACTTGTATGGCACTTTCTGCACCCGCAAAGAAAAGTACTAAGCTAATGCCATGGTCATATTCTGAGGCGGAACATTGACATATCGAAATTTGGGCTTAGGCATGCTGACAATAGACAGCGAAAGCACGATTGTCCGCAATCCCAAAGGCGACACCATCATCAGTAAGCAATACTCAGTCCAACGTCTGCTTGGATAAGCAGATCCAAACAGATACCGGAGGATCCAGCAAATGATGCACGACTTGATGCATTCTTGGTAGTATGGTTCACACTCACTTTCGCCGATTCAGGACATGACTCCTCCTCGTTTCAGACAGTTGAAGACGTCACACGATGCGGACACATGATCACCAAACGAGACAGAAAAACATGAGCCTGGATGTGAAAGTTCAATTGCAATTTCACCTCAGGAGTTCATATTGGACAACGAGCGCAAGGAAGAGAAGTCTTCCACAGAAGTCTGTCCTAAAAGCGAGCTTCCTCAATTTTAACGATCGTGAAAAGGAAACTATCGTGGATACTGTACAAGAATGTAAGTAAGTACAAATGAATCCACTTTTAGGTATAAGTCTTCAAAGGAGTAGGAATATCTTAGCAAAATAACTCTTCTTGTTTCGAGTAACGGGATGATGAATCCTAGACTCAGTTCCAAACCCCACATGATGCGTAGACGGTACAGTGAGCCCACCCCGTAAACCCTAAATGCCGTATCGCAAACCTTTCAAAACCTCGTTATGATTCGAGAAGGGTCGTATATCCTGTTAGGCTCGACCTACCGTCTGTCATCTCTACTCTTCATTCATAAACATAAATCGAAAGGAAAAGAAAAGAAAAGGGATAACAAGAGAAAGATATCCCTCGAGTCTCCCGCCCACCAAAAAACACGCAAAAGCGTTCAAGAACTCGCGATATGGAAGTTCGGTTGGAGTGAATCCTACTTTTTAACGTTTGATTTTTTTGAGGAATATTTCCAAAAAATGTCCTAAATCTATTATTATTATTTTGCCAATTAAGTTATAAAACTTTTAATTATTTTAATTGAGTCATAAGACTTTTCATGTTTTGCTAATTGAGCCAATTTAGTCAATTTTGACTGAAAATTACTGATGTGAACACTAACCGTTTTACGTGGTACGATCGGCGAATCCAGCCGACATAGCGTCTTTGAGAAGGGTGATGCGCGCTCTCACCATCTTTCAATTTCAATTCCCCAAAAAATCCGAACGATTTCCTATCTAGGGTTTTTTCGTTTGAGCGGGCGGTGCAAGACGACGAACCGCCGCACGAAACGGTGTTGCTCCGGTGCCGCGTGTCTAAGGACGCTGCCGTTTTGCGGCTTTCGCGTTTCTTCTTTCCCTCCCTCTTTTCTGGCCGATTTTTTTTTTAGCAAAAAGAAAAGGCAACTATAAAAGCGCCCTCGCAAATTATCAAAACTTTATTTAGCTGGCTCTTCGAGAGTAATCTCTAAAGCTCGGTCGTGCATAAGTTTTCACTTCATCTAATATGGTGGATTAAAAATTTTGGCCGCAGATTTACATTCCAAATCAGTGAAATTCCAGATTTGGCCGGGAAACCTCTTCTCTCGTCTCTCTCGTCCCGGTGGTGACGGAGATGATGACTGAACATCGAGGCGCCAAAAGAGGAGGACCGCGAATGACCAACTGTCGAGAACATTGACAAGGAATATGTGTTGTGCTATAAGAAAAATTTCTCAGGCCGTGCATTTCAAAATTAATCCAATTCTTGGTAGATAGAAAGGAAAAAGAGCAAATTATTCTTGTGGCACCAACTTCCCAACCACCCCCGGAAGATTCCCACTGAGGGATGCCGATTGGCGAAAAATGTAGTCGTTCTTCCATTTGCCGAAGTGAACCGAGGATCCATAAGTGGCGTGCGGGTGGAGGAGAAAGAGGCTGCAGGCTTTTTAATACCTGACAATTCCATTTCACCCATCCATTTTGGATTTTGACAGCAAATTTTCTGAAAATTGGGGTTTTACCATTGCAGTTTCTCAAAATTGGAATGACTTTTTGTATGGATTTCCCATGATGAAATGGTGAAGGGAATTGATTGCGTATCGAAACCCAATGAATACACGAAAATACGAGTCATTTTTGGTATGGACAGAATCGGATGTCACTCTAGTTATCTGATATGTAAAGAATTCGATCTAATTACATGGGTGTTGAACAATGAAATCTTGGGTTGTCTGCGTCTCCATGTCCTTCGAACTCGAGCTTCTTTTCTTGTTATTATTTGAGCTCATCGTTTTGCTTTATGCAAAAGCAACAAGCCTCACATGCAATTACTCACCAATGCAATAATTGAAAGGTCAACACACCAAGCCGTGATAACTTGCTTATCTCGTCTAAACAATATCTGAAAAACGAGTGTCCTTGTCACTTCTCGAACCTTGTCCGTAATGTTTGATATTAATCGATAACCAATTAGTTCCTCACTAGTCATTGGATTTGCGGTTCTCTAGTCCCACACGTATTATCTCCCGAGACATACAGATTCATGCTTCATGGGTGGTTCATGGTCCTTATGAATGACATTTAAGGACAAATTATCTCCTTTCTATCGTAACCCACAAATTTCCCCTCGACACTACATCTCTTTTCGCTAGAAAGAAAGTTACGTCACGCTTTTGGCTCTTTTGAAACTGGCGTGCTAGGCTCTATAAACTTTTCACGCGTTTTATATGCTCGCGTGATCTCTCGCTAGTATTCCCACTTTCACCGGTCTTTTCCCATCGTCACATTATTTAACCCCCCAAAAAACTTGCCTTCCATGACTATTGTAATTGCATGGAGCTATTCAAGAGAAATTATTGCCGACTTTGGGAGCGTACTCTCACCTTTCTCACATACACACGGGTTTCATATGAGGGAGATTCGCATCGTTCACTGGAGTTTGTACTTTGAGTGCACCAAATAATGTCTCGCTAGTCAAACGAGGAATATGCTAAGTTTTTCAAGGTTGTGAAATGAAATAACTATGAAATTAAGGAGATAAAATGACTATGAACGATTGCAAATCAGGAGTGATTTCTCTATCCACACCAAATTCTGAGAGCGAAACATCATAGTACCAAAGAACGGTACACTGAAAAGCTAAACAAATATCAAGCGATGTGGATACTTGTTAGAGTCAAAACACGGCACACTAAGTGGTCCCCCATGACCTTGGAAGTCGCTAGTCCTTACAATAAGAATCTTAGAAGAGCATAAAGCACATGACAAGACTCCCAATCCCTCCTTCCTACCATCGCTCATCCCTTTCTTGAACCTCCATAAGCTCCTCCTCCTCCTCTTCGTCTTCATCTTCTTCGTCGTCATCGCCGCCATGGAAACTGAGTCCGATCGAAGAGTTCATGTCCTGTTCTTCCCTTTAATGGCTCACGGCCACATGTTGCCGACCCTGGACATGGCCAGGCTCTTCACGGTCAGAGGAGCCAGAGCCACCATAATCACCACCCCACACAACGCCCCTCTCTTCCAAAATTCTTTACAGGGCGACGCCAGATCGCGAATCGACCTCCGGTCCATCGAGTTCCCGACCCTAGAAGTCGGTCTCCCGGAAGGCCTCGAGAACCTCGACATGGTCACCACGCAGGACATCCAGCAGAAGTTCTTCAGGGCCATCTCGATGCTGTCTGAGCCCCTGGAAGCTCTTGTTCAGGAATTGGCCCCAGACGCGCTGGTCGCCGACATATTCTTTCCGTTCGCGAACGAGGTTGCGGCCGGGCATGGCATCCCGAGGCTGGCCTTCCACGGGACGAGCTTCTTCTCCATGTGTGCGGCCGAGAGCGTGAAGAGGCACAGGCCTCACGAGAAGGTCTCATCTGACGACGAGCCGTTTTGCTTGCCCGGTCTTCCGGACGAGATCACGATGACGAGGTCTCAGCTCCCGGATGAGCTGAAGGTCAGCGTCCAGACTGATTTCACCAGGTTGCTGAAGCGATCTTATGAAGCTGTGGATCGATGTTTTGGGATGATAGTGAATAGCTTCTATGAGCTTGAGCCGAGTTATGTAGATAACTACAGGAATGCTCTCGGCAAGAGAGCTTGGCACATCGGACCTGTTTCGTTGTGCAATAGGAACTTGCAAGAGAAGGCACAGAGGGGAGGGAAGGAAGCATCTATCGACGGGCACGAGTGCCTCAAGTGGCTCGACTCGAGAGGGCCCAGCTCGGTCGTCTACGTCTGCTTCGGGACAACGTCCAAGTTCTCGGATGCGCAACTGCGAGAGATCGCCATGGGATTGGAGGCCTCTGGCCAGGACTTCGTCTGGGTTGTGAGCAGAGACAAAAAAGAAGAGAAAGGAAATGAGGACGAAGGGCAGGACGATTGGCTGCCCGAAGGGTTCGAGAAGAGGATGCGAGGCAAAGGGCTGATCATTCGGGGATGGGCCCCGCAAGTCCTGATCCTCGATCACCGGAGCGTCGGGGGCTTCGTGACGCACTGCGGGTGGAACTCGGTGCTCGAGGGGATCAGCGCGGGGCTCCCGATGGTGACGTGGCCCATCTTCGCCGAGCAGTTCTACAACGAGAAGCTGGTGACCGAGGTCTTGAAAATCGGGGTTGGGGTCGGGGCCCGGCGGTGGGCTAGGTTAGTGGGAGACTTCACGAGGAAGGAGGCGGTGGAGAGGGCGGTGAAGGAGATAATGGTGGGGGAGAGGGCAGGGGAGATCAGAGGCAGAGCAAGGAGCTTTGGGGTTATGGCCAAAAGGGCGGTTGAAGAAGGGGGTTCTTCATACGATGATTTGGGGGCTTTGATAGAAGAATTGAGGACATATGGCTCAGGCTGAAGAACTATGGTTTTGTGAGGAATAATGAATGTGATGACATTGTGGTGCGTTTGAGGAACCAGAGTGCATACTATTAGGGTTTGGTGATGATTTCAATGGTCATTTTATATATTACTAACTTGCTAGCTATAAGTTTTAGTCCCCCTAATTCTTCTTTCCTACAGAACATGGGTTTGATTTTTTTTTACCGGGCAGATATTTGTGAACAAGAATGCAAATCCGATGGGTAGAGCGGTAAGAATAAGCAAGCAATCGAATCAAGAACATGTAACTTGAGAGACGCCAAAAAGGCTAAATCTTGTCCCGTGGGACACCTGTCTGTCATTGTAGACGGAACTGTGATGGAATTTATTTTTAAAAACACCGGTACAAATTTGGAGTACTGATGAGACGACAAAAAGTTCGGGTATTTGTGTCTGATAGGACAGAATTCAAGATTAACCTTAAAATTAATTCATGTGAACTACTTATTAATCATGCCCAACATACTGACATGAGCTTGGCATGAATACACTAAAAAATTAGTTCAGATATGTTAATTCCTTGTTGGAATCGATTGGTGTCATTTGTGTCGTGTCAAAACTTGAATACTTGTAAACAACTCGGGCCCCAAGAATCACACGCTTTGGCATTAAATTAACCAAGGAGGAGCGTTGGCTGAGAGAATCCTCCCTTTGTTTAATTGGTCTTTCGTTCAAGACAGCATTGCTGTAACCTTTTGGCCTCTGAAGTGCTTAGGTACAAGGAGAAAATGGGAGAGACGGACATGTTCTGGCTCGTCCGCAGTGCTATATTGTCGGATTTTGGATTTGTCCTTCTTTTGTTCAGTTTCAGATGGCTTGCCGCATCTGGGAGACGCCACTGCTCCAATCAGTAAGCGGATCTGAGACCAATCAGATTAATTAGGCAACTAACAACCGTGTTAAAAACTTAATCTCTTAGGTGAAGGAAGATTTATTATGTAAATATTCTAACAAACATAGGATTTTAGTGATGAACCTAACAATCAAAATAACAAATTTGAAAGCTGATTAGCGATTGGTCATTTTTCTTATGAACCGTCTTGATTGTCATGATTGCGGATGTGTAATCAAGATGATTAATTATTTATTTCATGGATAATAAGAAATAATTTTGCTGTCCAATTGGGAGTGGGTGACACTTATAATTCATTTCCCCCACCATGTATGACATCTTTTCCTACTACTCTAGTGAAAACTCTCATATATAATAGGTACATGTCAGTCCGTTCCATCTCAACCATCAGGACCTCATAAAATGGTAAGGGTAATAGTAATTTAGTTTTTATAACATTACATACACAAGATTTAGAACTTCAAATGAGTTTTCTCTCTTGAAATATAACATGATTTAGAACTTTTTACCAAACCTTTTCCTTAAAAAAAACATTTAGGAATTACCCGTATAAATCTTCACTAATGTCTAAGGATGATAGTAATTTCAATTCTGTTGCCAATTTCTTGCCAAATATCATGCCGTTTTAGGTCAGTTCTGAAATTATTAAATTATGGGCACCATAAATTAAAAAAGTTATTGAAAGTTTTGTAATTGGTAATTCTATCTTACTAATTTCACGTAAAATTCGAATTTATCTGTATGATTCTCCTCTAATTCAGATCACATCTGAGTCACATTTGTTATTATGTCAAAACTCGCCTTTTTCTTTTATCGTAATAAAATATTGAGTTGTGGAATTAATGCCATGAATATCCGCTATACGCTTAATAGTAAATTGCTCAACTACTATCAATTGACTTATTGGCTCATAACTCATTTATATAGAATTTCAAGCCGACTTAGCTACCTTAATTGACTAAGATTTTGTACCATCTCTTTTGATAACTACTAATCAAAGGACTCATTTAACACATAACTTACTTTAGCCCTAAGTTTAACCCATAAAAAACTCTCACAGGTCATAGTCTTAGCTCAGTTTGTTTCACAGAAAATGAATGATTTGAAAAATATTTTTTCTAAAAATGATTGCTTGTATCTCTTATAAATATTAATAAATCAAAAAATTTTCATTGTCCATGAAAATATTTTTTATTAACTAATTATTTCAAGCGATTATTTTTTATTTCCTGTGATTCGCGAAAAATGTGACATTTCTGGACCATGAAGTTATTTTCTATCAAAATGATGATATTTTCCGGTATTTGACCGAAACACCTAAAAATATATTCCATCATTTGGTAAGACAAATTTGATTTGATTTTCCTACGTAGACATATATTATTTGGGCGCTAGTGACTTGCGTATAAATAGTCGAGGAACCGGGTATGGGCACAAGGGTTTCGGGTTCGGCCTTGATGGACCTCGACTTAGGTGTCGAGGACCTAGGCCTGGTCTTAATGGACCTGGGCACAAGTGTCGGGGACCCGAGATTGGGTACTAAGGTCCCCAACCCAACCTCAATGGACATGGATCTAGCCTCAATGGACCTGGGCGTAGGCATCGGGGTCTCGAACCCAGGACTCAAGCCCAAGTGCCGGGGACTTGGGCAAGAATGCTGGGGTCTTAGGCATGAGCATTGAGGCTCAAGTCCGACCTCGATAGACACGGGGACGGGTGCCAGGGACCCAGGCCTAGCCTCGATGGACACAAGCGCGGCCTAGTTAGACATGGGCCTAGGCACTAGCATCGAGGTCATGGTCCCGACCTTGATGGACCCGATCTCGGCCACGAGGTCTTGGGCTCAGGCACTGTGGACTTAAGCCCAACATCAATGGACCCGAGCCCGGGTGTTACAGATCCGGGCATGAGCACTAGGGTCTTAGGCTAGGCCTTTGTGGACCCAAGCAGAGGTGCCTGGGAGTCGGGCAATGGTACTAGAGTCTTGGACTCGAGCTTGGCCTCAATAGACCCGGACGGATTCGACCCCAACCCAGGGCCACTCTCAAGGGTTCGAGAACAAGCATTGGGGTTCTCATGCTATAATGTAGAGTTTTTGGTCCAAGTGTCGATATCTAATTATATTTTGAAAAATCATTTTCCTAAATTTAAGCATAGATTTTCTGTTGACTAGGAAAACATTTTCCATTGACTCATTTTTCTATGCAATCCAAACACTGGAAAATGAGGAAAATATTTTTCGCGAAACAAACCTAGCCTTAAGAAGATAACATTGTCAACAAGGTTTCTCGAATTGAACGACAGACATCTCACCATGAAAGTGCTAGGTCAAAATCAATGTTGGTCAACGAGATGGAACCTTCGATGGTAAAGGAATCATGGACTTCTTGGGTCCCAGTGATCATATTCATCCAGAATTTCCCTACCTTAGCCCCTCCTAAACGACCAAATCCACAAGAAGACATTTGACGTCCGTCAATTGACGAACAGCGGTCGTGTTGTATTGACATCGACCCACCAAGAAAAAGAGAAAACGTCACGTAGCCCAAACTTGGGGATCAAGTTAGGGACGGTGCCTCCTTAGTCCTATGAGTGGGGACAACCACTTATTAATATGTCTCCTTGCTATGCACACGTAAAAGATAGAGAAAATAATTCAACGAACGTTGGAAAAATGATATTTCGCGATACTACGAAAGGGATTCAATGGTTAAGGAATGTATTGATATGGGTGATTCAGGCATGCGGCATACATTCGATTCTCCACGTCAGCAAGTACAAACCATTTTTAGTTTGAGGCTACTATGCTAGAAATTATCTTGTATCTTATCTCGTCTATGAGATTAGTAGGGTCTATAAAATAATCTTGACTTATCTTTTCCTGCTTAAGTAAAATTTTGAATTTGAAGAAAGAGTATATTGGTGGATCGAAATAAATATGGCGGAGAAAGTGAGATGTTAAATAACCATTAGGTAACCATCTAATTCAATTGCTAAAGCTATCTTAATGTAGCCAAACATAAATTTACCTGAAAGAGGTGCACATGGGAACAAAATTCATTGTAACTCTCACAGATTTCGAATAATATAAGTATGCTACCCAAAGAAAGGAAAGAAAGCAAAGACAATTACGTTTTTGGTCCCTAGACTTCGTTTTTACACAATTCTAGTTTTTTTGTACCATGTATTCTTACCATCTAATTCAATTGCTAAAGCTATCTTAATGTAGCCAAACATAAATTTAGCTGAAAGAGGTGCACATGGGAACAAAATTCATTGTAACTCTCACAGATTTCGAATAATATAAGTATGCTACCCGAAGAAAGGAAAGAAAGCAAAGACAATTACGTTTTTGGTCCCTAGACTTCGCTTTTACACAATTCTAGTTTTTTTGTACCATGTATTCTTAATAGGATTTCGGAGGTTTTTTTTTTGTCGAGCTTCAAACTAACTGAGTTGACACTGATCATTAGCATGTTGTGCTAGTGGCAAATGACTGCATTGGGTAAGGCTAACAAGCTATGATACCAAGCATAGTATATTGTAGCGCGTAGTACCTAGGCCAGCCCACTACTGCCTAACCATGCTTGGCTTGGCTCGTTAATAGATGGAGCTGTGCCATTATCGCGCTCATGTTGTGTCGTGCTTGTGTTGTGTGTGTACCATGCTTGCTTCATGCCCGTGTCATTTTTGTTGTGTACACTAGTAGCAATTTATTCCCAAATTGAACGCAACATAATTTGCAGATAAATTCGAATGCTAAATACATGAATATAACATTTCTCTCTACTCCTTATGTGTTGAGGATAAATTGGCTGCAATAGTGTTATTATAAACAAAACTCAAGTTCACATATTCTGCAAGTAGAACTGCAGAAATCGGTAATCTTCAAATTGAATCCTCGATCATATCTTAAGCACTAGTACAAACAATATCTTGGGGGATGTAGAACAAAATATACAGCAAAAGGGTTGATAACTAAATATGTGAGTTTTTAAAGGGTAAGCATCGGGCATTCATAGAAACAAATGAGTTTCAAGCAGAGTGAGTTACGAGAAATTGAAAACATAAATAAATACAAATTTGCATGTCGACGCCACAGGAAGGAAAAAGCAGCCGTTGCACCAATTGACTCCTACTTGCACAGGTCCGAGGGAAAATTTCAAAACAGTCCCTAAAGTTCACACAAAGTAACTCTTGGAGTGGTGTTTGTTTCAAAAAAAGCCACCTGAGGTTGGTGAC